ACATGGAAAGTACAAACTCTACCACCGGAAGACTTAGAGGCAGAACCGTATCGAGTACCGATAGGAGTAGGATTTTCTGTATCTGTATCGCCAGCAGTCTGCATAACAGTATTAGAAACAATGTGAGTTTTTGTTGAACCTAAATAGATAGGTTCTTGAACTCTATCATCGTTAAGGTGAACACCGTACTGTGCCTGTAAATATTCAGTATAACGCAAACCGGAAACATTTACCAATTCTTTCCAATGTTGTAACTGTTTAGCAAGACGTAAATCCGAAATATCAAAAGTACCAGCGCGACTTAAATCTGCTACTAACTGTCTAGGCATTTGCCTATTTGCAAACAATTCTTTTGAATATTTCAAAGTATTGCCTGTATGTTCAAATACATCAGAATCATTAACTCCGAAAATACCAAGATAAGAACTAAGGTCACCGCCAAACTGATTAGCAAGACCAACGGCACCGCCTAAATAAGTAGACACATAAGTAGACGGATTTTGTGAATCGTAACGCGAATCAGGCATAGCACCGATAAAAGATGGAGTTGGAACACCGTTTTTCCACATACCGCCAACAATAGCACCTTCAAAATCGTTAGGCTTATTACCGTTATTATAACCATTTCCAGCAAAAAAAGCAGAATTGAGACTAGGAGTAGATGTAGCAGTTTCAACAAAAGTTGTAGCGGAAACACCGTGGCCGTAACTAGCCGGAGAATCCAAACTATTAGTTAAAATAACTGTATTACCACCGGATTCAAAAATACCTTCCTGTGTACGCTGGTGCTGACCTACAGAATCTCCCATAGTACCTTTAAGAACCGGAGTAGGACTAATATATTCTGCAAGACCTGAACCGGTCTGACGCAAAAAGTCAGTGATAGGGGCAAAGCCTGAAAGCGGCAGTGCAACAGGGTCACCAAACTGTGCAGAAAGGTTAGCAGATGTAAAATAGTCTTTTTCCCAACGAACACGGAAAAGTGATTCATCAGTCAAATCTCTAGGTTTATCAAGTTTTTCATCACGGAAATAATGATTGAAAATCATGTTAAGACCACGTCTAGGAAAGTCAACCGGAGCAGAATCTTTAGGATATTTACCAACATAACCAAGAATAAAATCTCCAATAGAGTTTTTTTCAATAGTATGTGTAGTAGTATCATCAGAATCTGTCCAATGAGGAATACAAATATTATCAGAATCCTTAAGTGGACGTGCAAGACCTGTAACAGGGTCAGAAATACACTGTTTAAGAAAGTTTTCCCATTTATCCCAAGTAATTCTATTTGGAACAAAGAAATAATAACATTTTGCGACAACATCGTCCATAAAAGGAGCGACCATAGGAGCAAACTGAACATTGAAAAGATTAGAAATCTTGACAATATCACCGGGGACAAACTCGTCACACATTACCGGATAACATACACCAAGTTTACCGCTAAACTTTTTGTCATACGACAAATTGTGTTTACTACGTCTTATTTTCGCAGTAGGAACACCTAAAGGCATCATAAATAAAACCTCCAAAAATAAAATATTCCCCCTTGAATAAGGGGGCAATTTTTTTTACTTAAGTACAATACAAAAACCGGAAACAAGAAACATATCAAACTTGTCAACCTTTTTTCTTACTCATTAAAAAAGCTCCTTAGAATCATCAGCAGATTCTTTAATAGATTTTAAATCATCATTACAAACAAAATAAGGTTTAAAAACAACATATTCAACAACACCAAAACAAACAGAACCATAACCAACTTTAGAATCATTTTCAAAAACAAGGAGATAAAGTCCATTACCAATATTACGAAGTGTAAAATCAGAATGAACAGAACCGTCTTTAATATAAGTCCAAAGTGCGTTCAAATGTGTTTTAGAGGTTAATGGAATAGTGCCTGGAACAAATTCCAAATTAGATAACCAAGTCCGCAAAAAATTATTAGTGGGTAAAATGCTTGAATCATTCATTTGTCACCTCTTCATCAACAGAATTAGAAATAGATTGAGAACAAACAAGAATTGCTCTCTGTGGGTTAATCTGTAAAACGTTATCATCACGGCAAAGTTCAGCTACACGATACAATTCAAAATCGTCAGGGTCAAACATATGGTCGTCCTGATGTTTTTTAGTCTGTGCGTCAATAAAAGAGTTATACCAACGGCAAGCAATTTTGTCGTTTGACATTTCCAACAAATCGCCATAATTCTGTGTAACTTTGTTATAAAGTGAATAAACTTTAGAAATCATTTTTTCAAACCTCTTAATAAATCAATATCACGTTGTGAACGTGCATTTACTGTTAAACTTTCATAAAGTGAATCAAAACTACCTAAACTCATACCGATATGGAATAACATTTCATCAGTCAAAGTAGGGTCAAGTGTCTTAATATCCTCAATCCGTTGCAAAAACAACTTGCGTTTAGTGTCATTTTTGACAGATTCCAATTCCGGAAATTTCTTATAATAATAAGAAGGAATCGGGACAGAAAAGCCATTAAAAGCAATAGAGCCATTAGATAACATCTGTTTAAGTAATGTCGGGTTACCTTTAACACCTTTAAAACCAATTCCGTTAGAAACACGTTGAAAAGGCGGAAGAAGATTCAATTTTGCATATTTCTTTTCGTCCTTTAATTTCTTTTGAACGTAGCCACAAACATACATGATAGAACCAACTTCAACCTGTTCATACGCACCAAGGTCAAATTGATTGGGTTGACAAAGTCGCCAACTATCAATTACAGTTTCCTTGTCTAATTTACTAAAAGGGTCAAGACCAAAAACAATAGCGTGGAAGTGTGGCCTAAGTCGCTCATCGCCATATTCTGCCGACGCGAAGTAGGATATTTTCCGACCATTGAGATTTTTTCTCAACCGTTTCCAAAACTTTGTTAAATCCGAAGGTTGCAAGTTTCCGTCTTTGGGCAAATGTTCGTCATCATACGTCAGTGTTAAAAAAACCGCTTTATTATCCCAAAAGCTTAAATCATGCAATATCCGGATAGTCCAAGAAAGTGTGTTACTTTTTTTACAAGCTAAACAGCGGCGGCAAGCAAAATAATGTGTTACACCTTCCAACTTTACAGATACAGGCCTTGTACAGACCAACTAAGAAAGCCGAATACCGTTCCGGCTAAGAGCAAGAAATGTGGCTCGTTTACGATGTCTACTCAACTAATCCTCCGAATTATCTATTTTTTCGCTAAGAGCGTTAATACAAACGCTAACAAGACTTGAAATACAACCAAGAACCAACTTAACAACAACCTTGAGAGTTTCACTCATAAAACACCACCTTGGAATAAATATTATCAGGAAGAAAATAAAAAATCCGCTGCAAAGTTTTCATTTAACCTCCTGATAATCCAAAAATAAACCATAAATAAAAGATTGTCAATACTTTTTTTTATTTTTTTCTAAAAAAGTTTACAACTTTTTTTACGCGTTCCTTGTCCTGTCTATAGGCCTCTTTGAAGTAATTACCAGCAGACTGAATAGCGGCATTAAAATCGCCAGCAGTTTTACCAATAAAAGAGCTATTAGAAGATGTAGCAGTATTAATCTTTCTGTTAAGTTCGTACCACTTTTCTTTTATATCAGCCTCAAGTTTATCATTTGACAACTGTAATGACTTAATCCTAGTTTCATAGGTATTTTGCATTTGATAAAGTTCTTCCAAAGCTTTTGCAGTCTGTGCCTTAGTACTCTGTGTGTCAGCCAAAACTTTTTCACACTGTGCAACAAGTACGTTACAATTTTCTGTAATTTCAGCAATGCGAGCTTCATTCAAAGCAATAGACGAGGCATTACCGGATTGCAACCGTGATTCAGCCTGACGTTTCAAAGCCATGTCTAAATCGTCCATAGTTTCAGAAAAATCAAGATGTTCAGTAAGCCTGTTAATATTACTTGTATTAGCGTTGATGTTATCGATACGCGCCTGTTGTTCCTGTGCGTCTAGAAAAAATTGAGGCAGAGAGCCCACTATAGCGCCAAGGTTGCTCTGATATTCACTGTATGGAGCTTTTACATTACCAAGGTCAGAACTGTTGAATGTAGCCGTTTGTGAACCGCCAGAGCCTAAAGCAAGAGCTGGACTTAACCCGGCGGCTTTAAGGTCTTTGACCAAACGCTGATAAGCAGTGTCCTCTCTCTGCATAGTCAATTCATTAAGCTCTTTCTGATAATCAAAAGATTCGCGAGCAAGAGCCAAGTTCATTGCGTTGGCCTCTTTCTGAAATGCAATATTCGCATTGTTACGACTTTCCGCAGCGTCATTCTGCATTTTAATTCCAACAAGTGAAGAAATAGGACTTGCAATATCACCAAGTAAACCCATAAAAAAATCCCCCTTAAAATAAAATAGTGTCATTTGTGCATTGTATATCAAGAAGAACCAATGCACAAATGACTTCAAAAAAAATCCGCCGAAAATGGCGGAAATTTTTTTCCACACAATGTGGAAAACTTGTGCAAAACTTTCGCACACGCGCGTTTTTATAGGCGCGCGCGCGCGGAGTTTAACACAGGTTTTCCACAATGTTTTTAATCAGCCTTTTTATCAGGCTGATTTTTCATTTTTTTAGCGTGTGCAGTATAATCTATAGCTTGCTGCTCTACTGCAAGATGGTCATTGATGTTTTTAACTGCCTCACGTTCGATAATTTCAGTACGTTCTTTAACAGTATCATGAATATCGAGTTTATCCGCGTAAATAACATTTGTACGACCATTAGAGGCAATATCGTTTGCAACCTGTGGAACAATTTCATTGCCGTTACTATCTACCTGTGTAACAACATCGAAAAGTGAATCATCACCAAAGTTCATAAGCTGCGCGCGCATTTCTGAATTATTGCGTGAGGCTTTTTCCAAAGCCATACAACGTTTATCGGTGCTAACATAGGTAGTAACATCGACATTATAAGCGCCGCCACCTTTTTCAAAGGTGACAGGGGCGGGCGAATTGGGTTTATGAAACATAAAAACCTCCTAAAGTGTTGGTACGGCCAAAGCCGGAATCGGACGAATAGCAGTTACAATATTGCCAAACTGACAAATAAAATGAGGTTCTTCCGGAGCGGCAAAAACTCGAGAATCCGGATTACACTCAATAAACTGACTATTAAGGTTAGGGCATTCACTAAAGAAACGAGTAAAATGATAATGGGCAAGAGTATCACGCATATCAGAACAAATCATATTCTGTTTTGTTCTCATTTCATTGTTGCGAGCCTGAAAGCCAAAAATAGCTTTATTGTTAGAGTCACTACTTTCATCAACAAATATTTCTTCATTAAATATCTCTTGGTCGCCAATGTTAGTAAACAAAGGATTAAAGAAATCAGACCAACTGTTTTTAATGAACTGTCTGTTAATACCTTGTGCATAATTTGCCATAGGCTTAATAAAGAAAAGGCCAAAAATATAGCCATGTTCTTTAACATGGAAAGTACAAACTCTACCACCGGAAGACTTAGAGGCAGAACCGTATCGAGTACCGATAGGAGTAGGATTTTCTGTATCTGTATCGCCAGCAGTCTGCATAACAGTATTAGAAACAATGTGAGTTTTTGTTGAACCTAAATAGATAGGTTCTTGAACTCTATCATCGTTAAGGTGAACACCGTACTGTGCCTGTAAATATTCAGTATAACGCAAACCGGAAACATTTACCAATTCTTTCCAATGTTGTAACTGTTTAGCAAGACGTAAATCCGAAATATCAAAAGTACCAGCGCGACTTAAATCTGCTACTAACTGTCTAGGCATTTGCCTATTTGCAAACAATTCTTTTGAATATTTCAAAGTATTGCCTGTATGTTCAAATACATCAGAATCATTAACTCCGAAAATACCAAGATAAGAACTAAGGTCACCGCCAAACTGATTAGCAAGACCAACGGCACCGCCTAAATAAGTAGACACATAAGTAGACGGATTTTGTGAATCGTAACGCGAATCAGGCATAGCACCGATAAAAGATGGAGTTGGAACACCGTTTTTCCACATACCGCCAACAATAGCACCTTCAAAATCGTTAGGCTTATTACCGTTATTATAACCATTTCCAGCAAAAAAAGCAGAATTGAGACTAGGAGTAGATGTAGCAGTTTCAACAAAAGTTGTAGCGGAAACACCGTGGCCGTAACTAGCCGGAGAATCCAAACTATTAGTTAAAAATAACTGTATTACCACCGGATTCAAAAATACCTTCCTGTGTACGCTGGTGCTGACCTACAGAATCTCCCATAGTACCTTTAAGAACCGGAGTAGGACTAATATATTCTGCAAGACCTGAACCGGTCTGACGCAAAAAGTCAGTGATAGGGGCAAAGCCTGAAAGCGGCAGTGCAACAGGGTCACCAAACTGTGCAGAAAGGTTAGCAGATGTAAAATAGTCTTTTTCCCAACGAACACGGAAAAGTGATTCATCAGTCAAATCTCTAGGTTTATCAAGTTTTTCATCACGGAAATAATGATTGAAAATCATGTTAAGACCACGTCTAGGAAAGTCAACCGGAGCAGAATCTTTAGGATATTTACCAACATAACCAAGAATAAAATCTCCAATAGAGTTTTTTTCAATAGTATGTGTAGTAGTATCATCAGAATCTGTCCAATGAGGAATACAAATATTATCAGAATCCTTAAGTGGACGTGCAAGACCTGTAACAGGGTCAGAAATACACTGTTTAAGAAAGTTTTCCCATTTATCCCAAGTAATTCATTTGGAACAAAGAAATAATAACATTTTGCGACAACATCGTCCATAAAAGGAGCGACCATAGGAGCAAACTGAACATTGAAAAGATTAGAAATCTTGACAATATCACCGGGGA